TTCTGTCATCTTTAAACTCAAGTTAATCTGCTACGAATTTGTTTTACGAAATAGCTGGTAATGCGTTGAATAAATTTGTTCCTGAAGTCTCATCATCATTGTCAACAAAACCAGCTTGGTTTAATAAACACCTTTCCTGTCTTAAGAACAGGAAATGGAGAGCTTACAAAAAGTTTCTTAAATCAGAATCCTTGTTTCATCAATAAAACTTTATATATATTTGAAACCAGTTTATCATTCTCAACAATATAAGCGCTATACAAGGTGTGTGTCAAAAGTTTCCGAACTTTTCAAAAAGGGCATTTTCTGGTGCCGCCATTTTTGTGTGAGTATATGCGTTTGAAAGATACATTATTCACCGATTTTCCCTCCAAATTTCAAGACATTTGGAGCAGTGGAATTGGAATTATTGCGTTTTAAGTGACAGTACCTTGTGTTAGTTGGTCGACGAAAAATCATGGAGCAAAGAGCGGTTATTAAGTTTTGTTTTAAACTCGGTAAAACTTTCACCGAGACTCATAAATTGATGAAACAAGTTTATGGTGATGATTGTCTATCCCGTACCTCAACTTACGAGTGGTTTAATCGTTTTAAAAATGGTCGTGAAAGCCTGGAAGACGACGAACGTTCGGGCCGTCCGAAAAGTGCTGTTATTGATGAAAACATTCAAATTGTTCGTGATTTTGTCAAAAAAGAACCAAAATCTTCGTTGAGATACATGGAAATGGAGTTGGAGATATCCTATAAGTCTATTCATCGCATTTTGATTGAGCATTTGGGTATGCGGAAGGTTTGTGCACGGTTTGTTCCACACACACTCAAAGAGCACGAAAAGGCGCTTCGCATTCAGCATTTGAATCACATTCAAATCACATTCTTACCGTCAACCACTCACCATATTCACCTGATTTAGCTCCGTGTGACTTTTTCCTATTCGGATAATTAAAAATGGCAATGAAAGGAAGATATTTTGATGTCATAAAGTCCATTGAAAAGGCGACGACCGACATACTTAAGGCCATCCCGGTTGACGAGCTAAAACACTCATTCGAATCACTTTTAAATCGTGCAAATCGTTGTATTGAGTCGGAGGGAGACTATTTTGAATAAATGCAAAGTTTCATTCCAAACTATTTTGTAGTTTTTTTTCTTTTTGAAAAGTTTGGAAACTTTTGACACACACCTTGTATTATGAACTGTAAGGTAAACTTTCGTTATGATTCGAGCTCCTTCTATTCTTCTGTCAATATGAAACGTAAATCAAATCTTTTTCCTCCTTCTCTATCATATAAAAAAATTTCAGATTCTTCTGAGCGAGGTATTGCTAATCTTTTTGCGTCATTTGTTCAAAAAACTCATTTGCTGATTCATATAACCTCAATTCTTCTAATCCCTAATAAATTACACACATAAACATAATTTATTTGTCAAAATTTCAATATCATGATGTGTTCAAAGCTCTCTCAACAATAGATATATCATTCTCTGCTGGTTCTGATAATATCCCTAGCTGTGTTGTTAGGCACTGCTCCAATATCTTTTGCTATCCTTTTACTTTCTTATTCAATTTATCCTTGGATTTATTATTCCGATTTATACGAATGCTCAAGAGCACTTATTGAGAACTACCGCATAATTGCTAAGCCATCTGCGATTCCCAAACTGCTGGAAAAACTGGTTACTTCCCAACTGCAACATTCTTATAAAAGCATTATTTCTACTTCACAGCATGGTTTTGTCAATCATCGCGCATCCTTCGTGAATTTACTTCTATCATCCACACAGTTTTCTAAGCCCCAAAGATCGTACAGTGGTTAACCTCCTATCTATCGAATCTCACGCACTGGTATTTTGTTTAAAAACATTAAATCCCAGATTATAAATGTTACATATGGTGTCCCACAAGATAGGTGACTACCTTGACTTAAAAAACCTCTAGGTAGGTGACTTAAGACCTCTTCTGTTTGTTCTTATTGTGCACGATTTACCTACTATAGTTTTGTAAACTACGCTACTACATTTATGTATGCTGATGATGTCAAGTTATGTTTTTCTTTCTCAGACCATTTCCTTCATAAACACTTGCAATTAGACCTTAACGAAGTCTTCTTGTAGTATTCCAACCATCTCCTCTTACTTAACTGCTCAAAGTGTAAGGTTCTGACGTTCAATCGCAGTGTCCCTCAAATCGTCTTGTACTTGCTTGGGAATAACGTCTTAGATCGTTTTTCATTAATAAATGATTAAGGAAGTCCTTGGAGTCCTAATTGAAGTTATTTTTGACAATATGCTAACGTTCAATGAATATATATCATTGACAGTTAATAAAGCCAGGGGTGTGCTGGCTTTTATCAAACGTAGGTCAAATGAATTTGATTATCCTTTCACAACTATGACTCTATATGTCTCTTTGGTCCATCCTATCTTAGATTTATTATCTGGGAACACTGATTCTTTTCACAAAAAAAGAATTGATTCTGTCCAAAAGCAGTTTCTGTTATTTGCAATAAAAATGTAAACTGGGATAATGTAACTACCCTTCCGTCGTATCGTTGCCGGTAAAATCTATTAAACCTCCTTCATTACAAGCACGCCGTACTTGTGCTGGGGTTATGCTACTTCATATGCTTATTCTTGGACAGGTGGACTCAAAATTAATTCTGGACAAATAAATGTTTTCAGTTCCTAATAGAGTAACTAGATCCTTCCTACCCCTTTAGTTTCCAATTTGAATATCTAATTACATTTCCTGGATCAGTAAAAATTACAACTAATTTTCCCATTTATTATCCCCTGACTATCCCTAGATGTAATTTAATCTAAAATTATGGAATCTCTTTTAGCCTAATTTATCTTTACTATTAGCTATAATAATCTAGAACATTATAGATTTTATTATAGAATATTATTTACTATTAGTTATAATAATCTAGTGACAAGGAGAATAGAAAGTGATGAAAGTGACAAGGAGAATAGCAGTTAAAGGGGAGTAGAAAGAGAAGCAATGCTCTTCTTAAGAAAGAATGGGGAGATACCATTCAAGTCAGGAGTGTGTGACTCGGTAAAATGTCCTGTGGCTTTAACTACGTCACAGTCCAATACGTTATTATTACTCTTATTGAGAAAAGGCTCAATGCTAAGAAAAGTTTCATTATCAGTCCAAGGAACCTTTGGCTCCTAGTTAGAGGCAAAGTATTGTATAAAATGTTCCGATACGCCGTGATCCGAGTCGGCTACATATGCAAGAAGGTATGTCCGATGTTGACTTTTTGCTTTTAACAGACCGCCAAAAAACTTAAGGTTTGTATCGGAGGCTAGCTTTGACATCGGATATACACTGGTTGTTAGAAACTTATTAAGGAATTTAAGTCCGCGCTTAAATTACCGGTACAGCTCTCCTGCTCGTGGCTCCTCTGTCTTTATAAATCGTTTCTAATGCTTATCTTTTTACGTTTTTTAAATCTTTTGTATGCCAGGGAATCTTTTGATAAAATTTTAGATAAATTATTAAAAATACTATTCATTTGGGAGATGCCCAGATTAAAAATATCATCTAAAACTACAATTTCATGACATTGCTGAACGATGCTAGAAAGCATGCAGGATGACTCAGGGTCCAGAGACCAGACGACCAGAAGTTGAAATCGCCAGCTTTAATCAAAGCCCTACGGTCCAACGTTCTAGCACAGACACTGGTGATGTTTTCCATATGCGCATGATAAATACTAAATGCGCTGTTTCGAGGTATATACGACGCAATGATGACGGGCCATGGATGCCCTGGATTAAAACGGCAATCTGATCTAGTAGAGGGTCGGCCACCGGAAGGAGTAGTGATGTAGTCTAAAAAGATCGACGGATAGCGATGATCACATCACCTCCTCGCACACTGGATGCTGGATGCATCTCGGTCTTTTCGAAATACTTGGAACAATTTAGGCTCAAAGAAATCAAAGGAGCTAAAGTTGTTGTTTAGCCACGTTTCCACAAGGATGATTAAATCAAAATCGCCTGCAGAAAAATTTAGGAATACCATCCGGGATTTGGTGCTCATTTCCGATATATTTTGGAATATAACTTTTAAGCTTTTATTGGGGTCCGAGGAAGAATTAAAGCTAAGGTCCAAACTGAGAATAGGGCGGCTATGCGGTAATGATGAAAGTATACTCCTGGTACTGGTGCATGTGGAGGCATATCCAATACGCATCGCTTGCAAGATTGACGACGAGGATACATAGATCTTTCCGTTATACTCAACTTGCGAGTGTCCAGTTGTAAGGCCAGGTGAACATAGAGCATTCATAATCTACCACAGGAATGATCCACTCTCCCGTCCAAAAGGTAAACAAACATCTTCATTCGGCGAAAAGAAAGCACGAGCGGGTGGCCTAGAACTTGAAGCTGGGCGCAGCTAGGTGCTTTTCCCACAATTAGGGTTGATCCGCTTCTTCCTCAAGGTGAGACAGCCACCATTGATGCCGTTTGGGCCTGGCCCAGTGTAGCCTTTTTGCTCCCAGAGCTGGTAGGAATATAAGAATAGCAACCACAGGCGCCCCAGCCGAAGAGACGTCGGGCCCAGTGGGTCCAGCCAGGGCAAGATCCACTTTGGCTTTCGAGGAAAAGGGATTCTAGATGCAGAACCTTATGATTTAGCTCATCTATTTTGGAATGCGAATCATTTCCAATGATGCAGCTATCACACTGCAGCATTAAGTTCGGAATGTTTATAAATAATTGTATAGCCTCCAAGGGCAAATCTGATGTGGTAGGCACGCCGGCAGATTGACGCCCACCAAATGGCTTCACTCCCACGAAGTAGCAGTAACTTCTGCACTGCACTCGGTGCAAACGAGAGGCGCCGTGAGAAAAATAGTAAACTTCCGAACGCAAAGAAAGCTAGATGCAGACTTTTAGACGATCAATATTAAACCCTCTATTCTTTTAAATAATATTTATAAAAATTCCAGTTCCGCAACAAAGTGTCAAGAAAAAAAATTAGGTGTTTTTCAGTGGCTATGTATTTTATACAAAAAATTATTTTCAAACCCGTTAACATTTTGTAGAATACTTTATAGAAAATTACTATTTTCAGTAAGCATTCGGTTTACCGAAGCTTGTTTTTGAAGCATTTCCAAAACCAAGTCGTTTCAACGAATAAGTTAGCTGTTAGAAAGCTATCAACTAAGGAACAAAAAAATTAAAAGTGACTGTCCTTTTCTTTATATTTTCCGGGTTACTTTTTTTGCTTCTTCTTTTCAAGTTCTTCCTCCTTCTCCTTCTCTATGGTTTTTACATACTCGGCAATGTCCTTGCTGTCAAGCATTTTGAGAGGCTTATCGTTTTCCATGATAGCCACCTCCAAATTGTTTTGGCCAGACTGTGCCACCTCAAGGAGGGCACGAATAGCAAGCTTGACGGTTCCATTTTGGGTGCTCACTTCGTTGTCGGAATATGATTTTTCGAAAAACTCACGTACTGTTTTGGCCGAACGCCCAGTGGCGTTCGCTTTGTACTCGTAAAATATACCAGAAGGCTCCGTTTGGAACAGATGAGGAGAGCCGTCTGCGTCAAAGCCGCCAATTAGGCAAGAAATGCCGAAGGGACGGCGACCATTGCTCTGGGTGTACTTCTGTTTTAGCTGAGCGATGTATCTAAAATTTGAAACATTGAAGATACATTTCTGACAGCACGATATAGGGTAAGCTTTGCGTTCCATACCTGGTTATATACTCAAGGGTCACGGGGTCCTCAACATTAAGCCGATGGCTCTGGCATTCAACTTGAGCGCGATTTATTAGAATGCGTGCGTCGGCTGTCAGACCAGCAAAAGCCATTACAACGTGGTGGTCGAGCATGCAAATCTTACGCACTGTACGGTCTTCTTGTAACTTTGCCACAGATTTTTTCTCCACACCCAAAACGACACAATTAGCACCGCGAACACCAACCTAGCCAGAAACCAGGGGTTTTATATTGTTAGTTGTCAGACTTTGCGTTCATCGCCATTCTTACCGCAGTCGAGCCTTTGCGAACAGCTTCCTGGGCGTACTCCACCTGAAGCAAGTGGCCGTCCGGTGAAAAAATGGTAACAGCCCGATCGTAGCGCGCAGACATTTTTAAAAATTCGTTATTTAATATAAAACTTGAGTTTTGTAATATTAACTATACGATTTTCGTCTCGGTCGGGGAATGATGGTGCTCTTTTTATGATAGTATGACCAGCTAAATGGCGGATATATATAACATTTTTTCAGATTAGTATTTTTTGGGGTGTCAGTTTAGTATTAATCGGGCTATCGTAATTTCTTAGTTTTCGAATTTATGGTTTTTTATTTATGGGACATGAAAAAAACGTAATGTTAACAATTTAATACTTCAAAAATATGCCTTTGTCAGGAAAGAACTCATTACATCTATATACTTGTTTAATTAATAATCTTTCTAATTTCGATTTATTTCAAACGATTGGAAAAATAAAATAATACTGTATATTAATTGTTTATAATCTACGAACTAAACAAAAAAATGTTTAATGAAAAAAAAAGAAAGAAAATTATTTATCTTCACATGACAATTGTTAACAATTAAATGTTACGCTTTAAATTTCGGTTTTTGTTGTAAACTAAACTTAGGTTGTACTTTGCTTGCAGCCCTAGAAGCCGTGGAACTCGATAGTTGACGTAGCCCTAGTCGTGTATTGAACTATAATGTGCATTTGTTTTTGTGCATAAGATTTTTCGGATTTGCAAGCTATTTAATTCTTTCCTTTAATGTGATCGTGGTTGCAGCAGCATGTAAGAATGTAAAGTAACCGTGAAATCGCTTTATGGTTGGAATAAAAAAATTGCTATTCAGCTGGACTAAACAAACCATAGACAGCTGATCACTGACTGCTTCACACCTGCTTCGAATAATAGAAAAATATTTACCAAAGTGGATTTAAAAGACATTTTTTTTTGTGTCAGACTTTTCATATAAGCCCAATTCAATAATGGCGTTGCCCAGAAATCTTACTTCAAAGATCTGTAAGTACTCTGATTTGGTTGAAGGTTCCATTTAATTTCTCTTCACATTTAGATAGTTTTTTATGTTTATAGATCTATATACATATGTATGTAAAATGTTTTTATCGAATATACACCATAATGTACATATACATAGATACGCATTTATTAAGTAATTTTCAAGTATGTATATTTATTAAGTATATCAAGTAATTTTTTGACTTATCAGACAAAAGCAAATAACTTGACGGCGGTGTCTGTTCCAACTAAGTATGTATGTATTTTGCTTATGTAGCTAGCATTTACATTTTATTTCAATGTTGTTTTATTAATTGTTTATTTTTTTTATTAAATAAATTCATAATCTCTGTTATGTATGTAATAATTTTTTTTTAACTTTTTCAAGATTTTAATGTTTTTTTTTTAAATAGGTGACTTATTAAATAGAACTACCACTAAATGGGAAAACTAAGTTTTACTAGCCGGTAAAATCTTATGATTAAGGGTTCCTTTATCGTACATATTTGTATACCGGTCGGAGGTATAATATGTATTCGGAGGCATATTCTATAACTGACGGTCGACGGTCGGAAATGGTATTTGTATTTGGTTCTTTAACAATTTTTGCCAAGGCAAAAATTAGAAACTGTAGTAGAAACTGGTAAAATAAATATGTACAAATATACATAAGTAGCTATAAAGGTAGAACTTTAAAATTGCATCTCAGGAATATTATCAGATATTATCTTATTTAGACATGCAGGCTTAAAGTTTAATAATAGGTAATAAAAAGCGAAAAAAAATTCATGAGCCCTTTTTTTTTAGATGACATTAAGGCACACGATGGCAGAGTCACAAGTCTTGATTTAGGCGAAACAGGACGCGTTTTAGTCACCGGGGGCGAGGATCGCAATGTCAACTTGTGGGCAATTGGCCAAAATGAGTGTTTTATGGTGAGTGTCAAAGTTTTGATACGAATAGTTTGTATAAATTTTTGTACGCTTTTTTCGCAGTCCTTGACGGGACACAACCGCTCCATTGACTGCGTTCGCTTTGCGTATAAGGATAATTTCGTCTACTCGGCAGACGACATCGGAATAATTCGAAGATGGGACTTAAATGCCCAAAAAATCTACTCTACGCTAAACGGGCACATGAAAAGTGTTCGCACTTTAGATTTCAACCCATCTGGGGAGTACGTCGTATCCGGCAGCAATGATACAACTGTCAGGTGAGTTAATATATTCTTAAGAAGAGTTAAGAAATTTCAAAGTAATCAGATATTAGTCCAATTCCAAGCTAATTTTTAATAAATTAAAACAATATAGCAATATTTGTCGCTCTTTTTAATTTAACAAATAATCTTTTTTTTTTTTTTTTTCGCGGTCTTTTAGAATTTGAAAATGGCTTGTGCATCAATAAGAGCATCAGCTAGCATTCCTGTATTCATCATAAAGCTTAGAGGCCCAGACGATCGAGGGGCGCTCGAGAAACGATTTGTTAGTACATATTAAGCTATTTGAAATTTGTTAAGCTAAGAGGAGTTAGTTAGGAAATTTAAAATTCTATATTTTAAATTAGAGGGACAGGAAAGAGATGTAATAGAGTAGAGACCATTGTAGTTCGAACATAATACCCTAAAAGGGTCGTGCAGTGCATATGTCGAACTACAATGGCTAAGGGACAGAGGACTAAAGTTTCGAGTCCTTCTATTAGGAATGTTAAAATTTAAGCGTGTTAGTAAATGCTGGCCATCTACATCCCCGTTAATAAGGTTATGCAGAAAAACTACACCGAGCATTGTCCTACCATTTGTTAAGCTAGGTAAGTTTATAAGTAAAAGTCTGCTACTGTAGGATGGAAGCTGAAGATTTGCATCCCAGTATAGACCTCTAAGTGCAAATATTAAAAAGTTGTTTGTACGGATTCTATGCGGTCCTTATGTACTCCATATTGGGGACTCCAGACACATAAACCGTACTCTAGTATAGGACGGACCAAAGAAATAAATAATGTTTTGGTTATATAGGGGTCATTAAATTCTTTTGACCACCTTTTGATAAAACCAAGGACTCCTTAAGCCTTATTAACCATTAAGGAAATATGGTCGGCAAATTTAAGTTTGATATCTAATAGGATGCCGAGATCATTAACCTGGGTTAATTTTTCTAAGGCAATCCCATTAATAGAATAAGTAGCTTGAAGAGGGCAAGAACGATAAAAAGACATATGCTTGCATTTTGATCCATTAAGTATTAGATCATTAGCTAAACAGCATTTTTGAAAGTTATCAAGGTCAGACTGAAGACTGCTTTGGGCAGAGATGAATTTGTACTGAAGACAAAGCTTTACAGCAGATACATAAGAACTAGAGAGTTCGTTAAAGCAGGGGGCAAGTCATTTATAAAAAGCGTGAATAATAGCGGGCCAAGATGACTTCCTTGAGGGACGCCGGATGTAGCACGGACCAGACGGGACTGTATGTTTTTAAATAAGACTCTTTGTGTCCTTCCATCTAGGTCTTTAGGACAACCCAGCATATTCAGTTTACCTTACAAGAGTGAGTGATTAACTGAATCAAATGCTTTGCTGAAGTCTGTGTAAATTACATCGGTTTGATATCCCTTACAAAAGCCATCTATGACAAAGGATGTCAGCTCCAATAAGTTTGTGGTGGTGGAGCGACGCTTAATAAAGCCATGCTGACAAGGAGTGATAATAGAAGAGCAAAGGTGTTGCAAATGAGGGGTAATTAATTTTTCAAATAACTTTGGAATTGCCGACAACTTAGAGATGCCTCTGTAGTTGGCAGCCTCGGACTTTTTCCCTTTTTTATGTAGGGGAATTATGAAAGATTCCTTCCACTTAAGGGGAAAAATCGAGGTTTCCAAAGATAAGTTGAAAAGTCTTAGAAGAGGTTTGCACAGAGCCCTGGCGCAGTATTTTAGCACACAGCCTGGTACTCCGTCGGGGCCTGGCGAATAAATGGGGTTTACCCTTAAAAGACCAGATAATAAGTTGTTCTAAAAAAAAAACGGACAGAAAATAATACTTGCTGCTTGAATGTTATATGCGTAAGGCTGATCTGTCAAATTAGGCAGAGAATAAGTTGTTTGAAAAAATTCATTCAAAAATTTGATCAGGCAATGGCCTGATCCGGGGTCGCAGAGGAATTTTCAAACGTAAGCAGTGGTGATAAAGATACGTGTTTACGCTTAGTGTTTACAAAATTATAAAACTGCTTTGGATCCTGAGTAAATTGTATCCGGCAGCGGTCAATATAATTCCTATAACACTCCGCGTTATGCACGGTAAAATTCGACCGAGCTAGTAGGTATCTTGAAAAATCAACACTACTACAGGTTTTTTTGTATTTTAGTAAGAGCCTGTTTTTCATATTTTGTAGGTTAGTGAGGCACCTTGTATACCAAGGAGGATTTGTTGAAGCGGACGGATATTTCCATGGCACACAGGAGTCAAAAAATTTATTTAAAGTAAACTAAAATTTTTCTAAAGTGACGTTAAGGTCAGTGCATGCCAGAATATCGGACCAATCATATTTATCGATAAGGCTATTAAGTTTATGAAAATCAGCTTTACGAAAACAGCGAATCTTATTTACCACGCGTGGAAACATCTGATCGATACCAGGAATGGTTTCGATTGAGACCTCCAGCGTGGGGTGATAAGGATCCTCTGGGGTTGAAAGGGGAAAAGCTCTGGAGAGAGCGGTACCATCAGGATCAGATACAAAGCATAAGTCTAAAAGCCAACCTAACCAATTTCTAACATGGTTAATCTGACCTAGGGACATGTCAAACATGCCAGCGGTGAAGTCATGGTGAGTGATAAGTGACAAAGATGGTGAGTTATCGACGTTTATTTCTGGGATATTAAAGTCGCCCACCGCTACAAGTTGGTCACGATCCGTCATAAGATTAAAGACGTGTCGAATAGCGGACAAATGCTGCCAATATGTAGGCGGTTCAGACATAGGCGGTATATATGAACATGTAATGTATAAAGATTTCACGGACATAGTGATTTTAACGCAAATAAATTCTATGTCACCAAACTCTTGGGATTTCACCTCTTCAGAAGCAAGAGTAGAGTCTACCGAAATGAGGACTCCACCCCCTCTTCGCTGAGGTCGATCCCGTCTAAAAGTGGTGTACTTACTTGGAAAAACTTCGGAGCTAAAGATCTTCGGCATTAACCAAGTTTCTGTAAAGGCTATAATGTGGGATGCAAAGGAAGAACTATCAGAATACAGTTTAGGGAGTTTGCTACGGAGCCCCCTAGTGTTCTGATAGGTAAGAGTTAGTGACGAAACTAGTTTTTTGGGTTAGTGGCCAAAGAAGAGGTGGAGGGTTGGTCAGTGGTTCCGATATTGGGAAGTCTCACTCCCACTGGTTTATTAACTTTTTTTTTAACGGAACTAGGCTGATGTTCTTTGACAAAAAGATTCTCTGGCCAAAAACTGGGAGAACAAATTGTCTTGAATATCAGCGCGGGCACACGAATCTTGAAAGAAGACGTGCGCCTTGTATAATTATATTTAAATTTTTGTATGTCCTCCACCTTTATATCGGCTTTAGTTTTGGCTTTGATCTTTGATAAAAGTCGAGATATCAATCTCTGAAGTATCAGGGGCAAGCCGAGAACTGCAGCATCAGTCGGTGCCGGTGGTCCGGACTGTGGAATACCCTTTTGGGTGACTCTAATGGGGGTTTCGTTCCCTAGGACCTGTGGCATCACTTGAAGGGATGCCATGGCGGACATATCAGACAATTGCTCATTATCCCTGAGAAATTCTGACGAGTTTTTCTCAGTTCTAGCCCTTGGGGTGGCCAGGGATATAAGCGGCTGCATTATTGTCGGCTGAGCAGGCTGAGGCGGATCAGAAACAGCGGATTTCTTACTCTTAGGGGACTCATTTAGCAGCTGAAGGTCACTAAACTGAGTGTCAAGCGCACAGAGTTGGTCATTGACTTTACGAAAACCAGTGATCAGCTCTTTAAATCCATTTTTGGTCTGTCTCATAAACGACCTCATTTCGCCTTGGACAGCACGACAATTTTCAAAACAATAGTGTATACCCGACCTACGGGAAATGGCATCCGAAACTGAGGCAGTGAATCCGGCACACTTGGCGTGCACGACGTTTTCACATAACCAGCAATGTATGGTAGGCTGGGATGTGGAAATTGTCTTGTTACAAGACTTTATAGCGCAGACAAGTTTAAATTCCTTTTTTTTTTTAATTAATAAAACAAAAATTAATATATAAAAAGTTAAAGAACACAAAACCTTGAACCACTGTGCCAAATAGGAAGCCGAAGCAGGAGCTTTGAATAGTGCAAAAGAGAAATAGAAATAGAGATATAGAAATAGAAATAGAAGACGGGGAAGAAGCAGAGCTGAGCTATGCTTGGAATTTAAATTATTAAATTTATTAATTCGACTCCAAATATACCACAGCACTCGCGAAGCGATACGGTTTGAGCTTGAGATTCACAATATATCTATGCAATGATTAAGTGAGTAAACACCGGTTTACCAATATTTATAATAAAACGCAGTGCGCACAAAAAAAAACACGACCGTTCGCTTAAGAGAAAGAGAGGGAAGTGTCCTAATAATCCTATAATTTTTCCGTTTTTCCATCTAGGGATAGTTCAGGGAATAATAAATGCGAAAATGACTTCTAATTTTTACAAATAGCACGAAACGGATCGTGGTAAGCAAAATTTGATCTACAAATTGGTAACCAAAAGAGTCGGAAGGACCTACAAGGTGTGTGTCAAAAGTTTCCAAACTTTTCAAAAAGAAAAAAAACTACAAAATAGTTTGGAATGAAACTTTGCATTTATTCAAAATAGTCTCCCTCCGACTCAATACAACGATTTGCACGATTTAAAAGTGATTCGAATGAGTGTTTTAGCTCGTCAACCGGGATGGCCTTTAGTATGTCGGTCGTCGCCTTATTCGTCGTCATTTATTAGAGATTAGAAGAATTGAGGTTATATGAATCAGGCAAATGAAAAAATTTTGCCTGATTTTTTTTTGAAAAAATGACGCAGAGATTAGCAATACCTCGCTCAGAAGAATCTGAAATATTTTTATATGATAGAGAAGGAGGAAAAAGATTTGATTTACGTTTCATATTGACAGAAGAATAGAAGGAGCTCGAATCATAACGAAAGTTTACCTTACAGTTAATAATATAGCGCTTATATTGTTGATTGTTAAATGATAAACTGGTTACAAATATATACAAAGTTGTACTGATGAAACAAGGACTCTGATTTAAGAAACTTTTTGTAAGCTCTCGATTTCCTGTTCTTAAGACGGGAAAGGTGTTTATTAAACCAAGCTGGTTTTGTTGTCAATGATGATGAGTCTTCAAGAACAAATTTATTCAACGCATTACGAGCTATTTCGTAAAACGAATCACTTGAGTGATTCAATTGAGTTTGTTTATAGATGACTGAAATTTCCAATCGTTCCAAGCGAAGGGCATTAAAATCCGTTTTTCTAAAGCGTGTGGAGCGTGTTGAACCTTAAAGCCAGAATCATGAGGCATAAAGCCTTTAGGAAACGATAGCGTCACTTTGGAAATTATAATGTCCAGAAACTGCCATGAGTGTTATGAATGGGGCTAAGTTGGAGTAGTGCAACATCAGTTAAGCCATTGATAAATTTATTATGACAAATGGAAAGCAGGGAATTGTCATCCTTAGACGGCATCCAGGAAATGTGAGGAAGGTTTAAATCTCCCATGATTAGGATTAAATCAGAGTCATTGACCAACGAAAAAACAGACATAAAGGCCTCAAGGTGGTGAAAATATTCGTTGAAAAAATATATATTTATATATATATTATTCTTAAACCGTAGGAGGAATGTAGAAACAGGTCAGGAAAATATGAGACGAGCCAGTTAAAATTTTGACCGCAACTCATTCCGAACTCATTCCAGAATGGGATACGTTCAGTAGGATACTCATTATTAATAGCAACAGGACTTCACCTGCAAAAGATGGACAATCCAATTGAAAAACAGTGAAATTGGGAACAACTTCATAATCGGAAACAGAGGAATTAAGCCAAGTTTCAGTAAGCGCGATATCATAAGGCATAAAGCGACAGACAAACTTGGCCTTACGGGGAGCTGTAAGGCTCTATTATGTTTTTATTAGCATAAAGGATAAAGTTAGTACAAATGGTACATTTACAAATTCACTATGATAAACTATGATACTTTTGTTTCTTGAATTTATTTATTATTACCTCTTTGACCATTTTTCCTGCTAAATGTTTATGGATTTTTGTGGTCATGGTAAAATATGGTTCTTTACGACAAATTACTCTTATTTTTGGGCATATTCGTTTCTTAAGTAAACTTTAAGCTGTCGTAGTGAGTTAAAATCTGTAGAATGTAGCACCTACTACTTGTAGTAAATTAAGGGGGGACATTTGAGTAACATTTAAAAAAATGGAACAATTTTTTTTCGCTAAAAAAATTCTTCAGGGTCTTAAAAATAACCATAAGATATTATAAGATAAAGTCCGGCAAAAGTGTCAAAATTTTCCATTCTGTGTCGATGCCTCGAAAGGTATATCCCACTGTACTTAAGGGGTTATATACCTTTTTTATTTTCAAAAAATTCTAAATTTTTTTATTGCTTTATCTTGAAGAACAACTCCTTGAGAATATTTTCCTAAATTTTCATAGAGATTGGAGCAGTAAAAAAAAAGTTACAGCGCTCCTAACCGCGCGCCTTGTCGCGGCCTTGCACTGAACTTGAAACTTTAAACGCGAATATCTCGAAATGGTGTTTCTTGAAAAATGACTTTGCGGTGACATGGATTGGCGGAAAACTACTGAACCGATTTACTTCAAATTTTTTTTTAAAATGTTCGTAATGAAATTCTTCTGTGCTTGAACGATCGACTTTTCACGCACAAACTTTTTTTTCGCCGAAATGAATTTTTTAGTAAAATTTTTAGAGACCAAAAAGTTTATTTTTAGCATAAAACGTTCCCGTATGCATAAAAAAAATAAAAATTTTAAAATCGATCGTTCAAGCACAAGGAATTACACTAAACTAATGAAATTTTTTTACTTTTATGGTTTCAGTTGACCTGGGGAACTGTCACCGCAAGGCTCTAAAAAAAAGAAAGCCTCTAAGGGAAACAGCCACCCTTTAAAAACTATTTAATATTTTTCCACCAAATTTTGCACAAACATTGTTAATAAAGCGTTCTATCAAAAAATTAAAACATCCGTGTAATTAAATAATTGCTACATACCTAAAAAAAAATCCGAACTTTCCTCTTTTTCTTCGACAAAGTAGGTATATAACCCCTTAAACATTAAACGCGTTTTTCTCTTAACCACTTGTTTTGATACTGCCGGAAACATAACTCGAACAAATAAGAACTAATCTATTTTGAGAATCGATAATCAATATTTTGTACTTCGCATCTAAAATTATATATTTTAGAATAAATTATAATATTATATTATATAGGTTATAAAACCTAATTTACAAATTTTTGATCGGCTTTTTCATTTGGCCAAAAAAAAATTCCAGAAAATTCGCTTTTCCCCCAGTTACTCAGATGTCCCCCCTTAATATTACCATATTAGTAAATGAAGGCAGCATTATTGTTAATATTTTAAATAGTTTGGGTATATTATAATTTATTTAATAAAATCGAAAAATTATGTAAAAAGAAAGGAAATCTAACTTCGGGCGGAGCCGAAGTTGATATACCCTTGCAGGTTTACCCTTGTTAAAACCGGATATATATCGCAAAAATCGGATATAGTTATCCGATCCTTATGAGAATATTATAATATAACCCAATTTATTATAATACAAAATCTAAAAAAGGTCCCAAACATCTTTCTTCAAAAATACCAAAGTTGGTATTTCTACCAAAAACCGTTTCCGATCGTTCAGTTATATGGCAGCTATAAGATATAATCGGCCGATCGTTATAAAATTTGGTAGGTCGAATAACTGATAAAAAAAAATCTGTACCAAGTTCGAGCTTTCTATCTTCAAAAACACGAAAGTTGAGTCATTTCCGACCGTTCAGTTATATGGCAGCTATAGAATATAGTCGGCCGATCCTTATGAAATTTGGTAGGTCGGATCAACTGAGAAAAAAATTTAATCTATACTAAGTTTCAGCTTTCTATCGTCAAAAACATAAAAGTTGGGTCAGTTCCGATCGTTATATACTGCGTGCAAAGGAAAGAAGGTTGTGTGCAAAGTTTCAAGTCGATAGCTTTAAAACTGAGAGACTAGTTCGCGTAGAAACAGAAAGACAGACGGACATGCTCATATCAACTCAGGAGGGGGTCCTGATCAAGAATTTTGTTCCTGGATTGGGACCTCTCCTGTGCAGTGCCATAAGTCCTCATTGGATATTCTATCTGGCCAGAATACCCCAAGTATTATTCTTAGGCACTTATTGATGTAAGCCTGCAACTTCATCAATATCCTTTGAGTGGTCAGCCACGTCTCCGATCCGTATACCAGTATGGATTTTACACACGAGTTGAATATGCGCAGCTTTGTTTTTCTGTTCATCTGCTGGTTTCTCCATACTCGGTTTAGTCTTCCAAATGCAGACCTCGCTTTGCGCAGTCGGTTCTCCACATCATTTTTCACTCCACCATTTGATGTTATGATAGTACCGAGGTAGGTGAAGCTGTCGACGAATTCGATGGTATTATCTCCGATTGTGATGTTGTTTGTGTTGGAGTTGTTGATCCGCATAGCTTTCGTTTTTGATGCGTTGATCTTTAAGCCTACTGCGCTGGCTCGGATATCGAGGTCCCTAGCTTTGGCTTGAATGTCTTCGAATTTTTGAGCCAAGAGACATTTGTCATCCGCGTAATCCAAGTCTTCTAGATGTCGGGTGAAGTTCCAGGTGATTCCGCGTCTGTTCATGCATACTTCTCTCATAATTTCGTCGACTACCAAGTTGAACAGAAGTGGTGATAGAGGACATCCTTGCTTGTCGCCTGTGTTCGTCTGGACCTGATCAAGAATATATATACTTTATAGAAACGGAGATGTCTCCGTCACTGCGTTGCACACTTTTGGACAAAATTATAATACCCTCTGCAAGAGTATAATGACATCTGACTAGATGATACATCATAGGAAGTGCCTCAATTTTATAATATATTCTCATCATTATACCCTTGCAGAGGGTATTATAATTTTGGTCAAAAGTGTTCAGCGCAGTGAAGGAGACATCTCTGAACCTAAAAAGTATATACATTCTTGATCAGGATGACCTCCTCAGTTAATATAAGATGTCCGTGGGCCTGCATGTTTCTACGTGAACTACTATCTCAGTTTTAAAGCTATCGACATCAAACTTCTTGATCACTTCTCACACCCTTCTTTATTTTTCACGCATTATATAAGTAGGAACGTCCGTGAACGGCCTATATCCTTAGTTGCCATATAACTGACTGATTAAACTGACTTTATTACATGAAATGGGTTTTGAAATGAAATTCTCATAAGGTTCCGCCAATATTTCCGATCATAACTGCAAGGGTATAATTTGTATTATATTTGGGTAAACTTTATGCCGTATTTCCAATACTTGTCATGCTACAAAATTTTAATTTCAATTGTAGTGGACAAATTTATTGACGAATACACAAATAATTAAACTACCACCGTAACTATTGCACAGCTTTTATATAATTACAAAATCAAACCAATTTTACTAAGCTATTTCCTCATATTGAGGTACATCATAGTCAAAAAGCCCCTATGATGTGCTTATAGCTTTGCTTTAGTGCTTTTAAGGTCCACGTAGGCGCCCGAGATAACTTCCTTGCCTGTGTCAACGACGACAGTGCGGAAGTGGATTCTTGTACCCCTTAGCCACATGTCCACCCGCAAAGTCTGACCTGGGAGTACAGGTCCCGAAAAGCGAACTTTTACAGCCTTAAAAAGAGATGGATTATTTTCTGCATACTTCGAAAGTACAGCGCGCACAGAGTATCCCAAAGTGCAAAGTCCGTGTAGAATAGGTGTCTTAAATCCGGCCAAAAAGGCCATTTGGGGATCGATGTGTAACGGGTTTCGGTCGCCAGAGAGGCGATAGAGTGCGGCTTGGTCATTGCTTGTGACATAATGAACAAAAGCATCTGGCTGGCCTTGGGGATTCGGCTGCAGTGGGACAACTCCCGCAATAGGATCCTTTTTGCCACCAAATTGTCCAGCACCGACAACAAAAGTGCTGCTCTGGTTGCGAACTAACAATCGACCACTTTCGTCAAAGGATTCGGAGTTTGTGACGACTACGGCACCGGAGCTCTTATCCATTACGTCAAACACTTTACCAGTAGTCAGCAGAGTACCGCTGGTAGGCAAATCATCGATAATTTCCAGGTACTGTTCGCCGTGCAGTATGTTTGAAAAGTCAACTTGCTTGCCGGGCAGGGCTTTGCTGATCAGTTTATCGGAGGACATTTGGAGTAATAACCCAGGTAGCACGAAAAAAGATGGAATGGCTGCGAAATTAGAATCATTTTCGTAAAGGAATCGCATGTCTTCGGTGTTTTTCACTGATGCACCAATGCCAAGGGCGTACAAGATAAGCTCCTTGTTGTCAAACTCAAAGTAGTCCTCTATTGCGTCAGCGTCCCATTCCTTCATCTTCTCAAGAACTTCTAAAAGGTATCCAGAGGCTTCTCCGATAGCGTTTAAGTGTTTAGCCTTAGACATATCCGTCACATTGGACCAGACATTTTTGACATACTCTGGGGTAACTGTGTCTTCCAGCGAGGGGCGTAGCACGGCTCCTTTTCCTCGAACAGTGTAAACTTTGGTTGCCCATCCGGCGGCACTTTCAATATAGCTTCCTGTGAAACGGAATCGAAGAAGAGAGTTAATTAAAAGCAAAGCAGGGTAGATAATGGTATGGATATAGATATTTATAACAAAATAATTTTAATCTGCAACCATTTGAGGAAAATGTTAAAAGACGTTAGTTAAACTTGAAAAGCAATTTAAAATGGAGGAATAAATTTTGCACATGGTGTAGTAAATCGATGGCTCGAGCATTTTCAATGGATGGATCATTTATTTATAAGGATATGATTAAAATTAATTTAGGTATAAAATAATGTTAATCGGCTCAATGTTACTTATAGATGACCAGCTTCAAAGGTACGATAGTAAAAAATGCTTGGACTTGATATGAATGCTATTCTAGTTGTTTTTTGCACTCACCGTTATCCTCACAGAACTCATGGCACAAGTAAGCCACAACCGGAGCGATAAGTTTAGGTTTCAGCTCGTTAAAAAGAATCTCCGGAAGAATACCCTCGGTCATCCGACTGGCCGCCGTTGGGATGATCACATTACACAGAACATTGTTCCGAGCGCCCTCAATGGCTACAGTATTGGCTAGGCCGACGAGACCCATCTTGGCAGCTGAATAATTGGCCTGCCCAAAGTTTCCGTAAATTCCTGAATTAGACGAAGTCATTATGATGCGACCGTAGCTTTGGGCCTTCATGTGCGGGAACGCGGCTTGAGTGCACTTAAAACTACCCTTTAAGTGCACATCGTTCACCAGGTTCCAGTCTTCCTCACTGGTCTTAGCCAGGCTACGATCACGAAGAATTCCAGCATTATTGATCAGAATATCGATGCGGCCAAAGGCCTTCAGGGCCGTTTCGATGACCTTTGCCCCATCAGTAACCGAATTGTAGTCGGCCACCGCTTGTCCTCCAGCACGTCGGATCTCATCGACTACTATATCAGCAGCTCGTTGAGAAGCACCTTCCCCTGAGTGGGTTCCGCCTAAGTCGTTCACTACAACCTTGGCGCCGCGCTCAGCCAGTAAAAGAGCGTATTCACGACCTAAACCAGCGCCGGCTCCTGTTACTACCGCCACGCGACCATCGTAACGCAGCTTTCCGTCAGATGAAGACATGACTGGTTCAGCTTAGATCAGGTTTTATTGCACAAAATAAGTTGTGGTCGTGGACTGTAAAAAAAATTATAAATTTCGTTGTTACTGTACCGCTTCTGGCTAAGGAATGAAATAAACTGATAAGTTGTCCGTCTGTTAATATGGCAGCCTTGTAATCATGGTAATCTCAAGTGAACCACGATAGCGGCTAGAAAATTGAGATACAAGAGCGTATTTTTTAGTGTGGTGCAGTCCGATCGGAGTCCAAGGGTCCAGGTTCATTACCTTGTGCATATGGCACCAATTTGCAGCCACAATGGATCAGAAAATGCTCCAAAAAACTGTACAGAAAACCTGGATGGTAAACATTGTGAATTTGTGAAAACTCACTTTCACGAGGTATCCAGCAATTAAACAAAGGTAGTTCTTTTGTATATAAGGTACAAAGTACATGCCCCCTTATTAATCCAGATAAGATTATTCTCTTATGTGAGTTAAACGTTGTGTGGCCATAAACTGTCACACTTAAAATAAATACAATTAAAAATGTTAAAAAACAAAGTGTCAGCTGAGGAGCTGCTGGTATTTTTTTCACTAAGCATAAACGGTCTCTCTAATCTCAGAAAAAGGCCTCTGAGGACTGGGTTTTACGTAGGGGTCTGCACACAAGCAGCCAGTGTTGCCAATTTAGCTATTTTAAAGCACTTGATATAGTGGGTAGCGGAAAAAGTAGCTATTTTCCAACAACTGAAACAATCCAATAGAAAAGCACAATAAAAACCTTTAGCACCTTTAGAAGAATTTTTAAATTACCTAAATAAATTATTAGCTAAATGGATTGTCGAAAATTCGAAAAAAAATTTTCAACTGCATGGTAAAATGGGAAGCCCAATCTCGTAAAAGTCATGATATATGTAAAAGTCAAGAGTATATGTTTTATTGATACTATATGGGGTCGAAGTTGATTCTTTCTCCCTGTTACATACATTTGATCACCGGGTACTACTAATATGGACCGATTTGGTTTACATTAGACTAGCAAGAACGCCAAACTTTCGAACATATCAATCATCCTTACGAATCTTGGCATGTTATTTTGCCAAAAATAGCTTTCACCTAAAATTTGAACTCTCTAACTTTAAAAACACCAAAGTTATACCATTTCCGATCAATCAGTTATATGGCAGCTATAGGATATAGTCGGCCGATCCGGGCCGTTCCAACTTATATACTGCGTGCAAAGGAAAGAAGGGTGTGTGCAAAGTTTCAAGACGATAGCTTTAAAACTGAGAGACTAGTTTGCGTAGAAACAGACAGACGGACATGCTCATATCAACTCAGGAGGTGATCCTGATCAAGAATATATATACTTTATAGGGTCGGAGAGGTCTCCTTCACTGCGTTGCACACTTTTGACCAAAATTATAATACCCTCTGCAAGGATATAAAAAAAAAAACATAATGAATATTTTTGAAAAAAAAAACAATGACTTGCTTTCACTTTTGAATTATTTTATTATCAGCGTCTAAAAAAACAGGCAAATATGCATAGTTGTATCGTACATTCTAGAATGCATTCGAAACAATTCGAATTCGAACTGTAACTCTAACTCATTCAATTCGGTTTTCATCCCCCGAATGTTGTGCGAGTGAGACCTATACAGTCATTTATTAATTTTTGTCTCAACATTCTATCTCACTCAATTCATTTTCAAGGTTGTGCATTTGAATGTCGTTTTTAAGCTATTCATGCAGACCTCTAATATATGTACATATTCGCAACTCAATAATATACATAAATTCGTTGCACACTTTTGACCAAATGTATAATACTCGTTGCACTGAACAGGGTCAGCCTTATTTTTGTTTGTGCCCTTAGAGAAGGTAAGACAACGATAAAAGAAATAAACGTCGATGCATTGATGTATCGATGTTTCATATCGATTTTACCAATGTTTCGAAAATATCGAATTGTTTGAACGTATTTTTATACCCTTGCAGAGGGTATTATAATTTTGTCCAAAAGTGTGCAACGCAGTGAAGGAGACATCTCCGACCCTATAAAGTATATATATTCTTGATCAGGATCACCTCCTGAGTTGATATGAGCATGTCCGTCTGTCTGTCTGTCTGTCCGTCTGTCTGTCTGTTTCTACGCGAACTAGTCTCTCAGTTTTGAAGCTATCGTCTTGAAACTTTGCACACACCCTTCTTTCCTTTGCACGCAGTATATAAGTCGGAACGGCCCGGATCGGCCGACTTTATGCTATAGCTGCCATATAACTGATTGATCGGAAATGGTACAACTTTGGTGTTTTTAGAGTTACAGAGTTCAAATTTTACAGGAAAGCTATTTTTGGCAAAACATTACGACATGCCAAATTTCATAAGGATCGGCCGACTATATCTTATAGCTACCATATAACTGAACGATCGAAAATGACCCAACTTTCGTGTTTTTGAAGATAGAAAGCTGAAACTTAATACAGATTCTATTTTTGGCCAGTTGATCCATCCTACCGAATTTCATTAGGATCGGCCGACTATATCCTATAGCTGCCATATAACTGAACGATCGGAAATGGTATTTGGTAGAAATATAAACTTTTGTGTTTTTGAAGATAGAAGCTTGGGACATTTTTTTAGATTTTTTATTTTTGTTAATTGGTTTTATTATGATGTAATCATAAGGATCGGTCAACTATATCCGATGTTTGCGATATATATCAGGTTTTAACTGCAAGGGTATATCAACTTCGGCTCCGCCCGAAGTTAGCTTTCCTTTCTTGTTTTTCATCAATTCTGTGACATTTTAATACATTTTATACCCTTGCAGAGGGTATTACATATTTGCAAAATATTAAAAATCATTTTATGTGATTTTTATGTGAAGAAATACAAAAATATTGTTTCTTTATTTATTAGTGCTATTTTTTGTTTCACAGCTGTATAATCTACATATATACAGTATAATATGCTTAGCTGCCTCGAGTACTTTGCACGCAACTTCGAGGCAGCTTAATTTTAATTTTTGAACAAAGAAAAAGTTTACCTATAGCTCAAATAAAGTACATATGTATACATTTTGCATCTTTTTTAGCAAAATTATATTTTCATTTCAATGTTTACAAAATATTAATACATATTTCAATTTGTAGTTTATATTTTCATTGTTAATTCTTAAAATAGTCAGTTATTTTTTTTTAATGTTTGCTTCGTTGATATTGTGATCGAATAATTTGTTTTCCAAAGAATTCAGGTGTTGGCGAAAATTCGTCACATTTGTGAATCATGCAAATGTTTTTAAGATTCTTCACTGCACAAAAACCTTCCTGGATAGTAGGGCGGCTTATGTCACCGCTATCATAGTCACATTCGCTTTGACTGCTGCTTGTCTTGTCATCTTCAAGAAGAGACCGCACAATTTCATCTTTGGTTAACTGACCATGGCAAGCAACATCTGCGTCGACATTGGCATTTTCTTCTCAATTAATTTGAGCATCAAATACGGTCTCCACGAATAGATAACGCAGCTAACTTAAATGATTTTCATAAAAAACCAAAAAAATTCTGCAGCTTGAGACGCTTAAGTGCAGAGGGTTGCTAATTTGGGTGCACCAAACGTAATTATTTTCATACCATGAAAATTATGATGCAGAAAAATGAAAATATCAGGCAGCTATCTTGACGATGCAGCTAAGTATCGAGGCAGCTAAGCAAATTATACTGTATATAAAATTTTCGTGTAACAGTTTTTGTTACCATACTCCTCCGAAACGGCTATACTGATTCTCATGAAATTTTGTAAGCGTATTAAGTAGGTCTGAGAATCCGCCATCTATTTTTCACCCTCTTAAGGGGTTATATACAGTTGTGATTGATTAAAAAATCGATTTTTTTTTATTGCATTTTCTTTAAGTATAATCTATTGGGAATACTCTCACAAAAATTCATAACGATCGGAGCATTAGAACCAAAGCTGTAGCTATTTATAGCGCAGTACCTGCATATAAAACTTGAACACACTTGAAACTTTAAACGCGATTATCTCAGAATCTTTTTTTTGGGAAATTACCTTTGCGGTGGACACGATTACTAAAAAACTATTAATCCGATCAACACCAAATTTTGACCACTTATTTATTATGATATTAGCTAGTCCGTGAAAGAGGGATTTTCAATTTTTTTGAAAACTCTTTTTTAGAGCATAAAAATCGAAAAACGTATACCTTGAAAGAGTACATTTTTTGTTAAAACCGTCGCCATTTTTTTTAATCAAAATTTTTACAAATCCTTCATTCACGGACTAGGCAATACAATATACTAACGAAATATTTTTGAATTTTTGATTTCGGATGAACCTTTCTCGGGATATGATGTTCACCGCAAGACATCGAAAAAAGACGATCTTGGAATTCGGCTTTAACATTTTTATTATTATACCCTTGCAGAGGGTATTATAATTTTGGTCAAAAGTGTGCAACGCAGTGAAGGAGACATCTCCGACCCTATAAAGTATATATATTCTTGATCAGGATCACCTCATGAGTTGATATAAGCAAGTCCGTCTGTCTGTTTCTACGCGAACTAGTCTCTCAGTTTTAAAGCTATCGTCTTGAAACTTTGCACACACCCTTCTTTCCTTTGCACGCAGTATATAAATCGGAACGGCCCGGATCGGCCGACTATATCCTATAGCTGCCATATAACTGATTGATCGGAAATGGTATAACTTCGGTGTTTTTAGAGTTAGAGAGTTCAAATTTTACACGAGCGCTATTTTTGGCAAATACGACATGCCAAATTTCATAAGGATCGGCCGACTATATCCTATAGCTGCCATATAACTGAACGATCGGAAATAACTCAACTGTCGTGGTTTTGAAGATAGAAAGCTGGAATTTAGTAGAGATACTATTTTTGGTCAGTTGATCCAACCTACCAAATTTCAGGAGGAATTAAGGATCGGCCAACTATATCCGATGTTTGCGATATATATCCGGTTTTAGGTGCAAGGGTATATAAACTTCGGCTCCGCCCGAAGTAAGCTTTCCTTTCTTGTTTTATATTTTTTTGTTGAAAAAAATTAAATAAGTACCCAGAAACATGTACTAAACAACGTCAGTAAAACATTTTTAATAAATATTTTCTATAGTGTCAAAAAAAATCGATAAAATTTCATTATTTTGCGCTGTATACTGTATATAACCCCTTAAATCCTGTTCGACATACCAAAAATCGCAGTAGTTTGTAGTTGGTAGTTTACCCAGTTTAAATAGCACTCAATTTAAACTGGGTCAATTTTAAACTTAAACAATTTAAGCAAAAAACCTTCATCATTAAGTAAATAAATTAATTCTATTTATGAGTGTTTTGTACAGTGAGAAATGCCAAGAAAAAGCAAAGGGGGTGATTTGAGCCGTGA